CAAGATCTATTTGAGGAATATATAATTTGCTTTCGAGTTGCATCGTAGTTTCGCTAGATTCTTTTATCTCCATTTGTTGTGATTTAATCATTTTAATATTTGTCTCGATTAGTTTTGCTATTTCTGCAAGAGGTTTTGAAAGGATTGTCACGATATTTCTGGATTCGTTTAATGTCAGTGTATCTTGGATTTTGTGTGGTGGACACGTTGAAATATAACCGAGAAGTCTCGTTGATTCATTTACAGATCTTTTCCAGCTCTCCGCAAAGCTTATTTCGTCCTCTGGTATGAATTGAACTTTTTCTTTAAGTGCCGCTAGAAATCTAAACGATTCGCTATCAAAGCAGTACATTGTATCATGCTTAATTTCAATTTCAATACCAAATCGATCCTGAAGCTCTTTTAAATGCTTTTTGAGTGGTGGCAAAGTATCACCCGGACGATAAAATGTTCCCCTGGCGTTGGTGAAACAGAATACAATATTATCCTTTGCGCTTTTATGAAGATGAGACAATAATTCTTGAATACAAAATCTGAATATGATGCTTGTACGCGACTCATTTGGCTTGAGGAGAATGCATATCCCATTGATATGTTTATGAAAACTGAGATATTTTAGAATGTTGTCAAAGTTTTGTTTGTCCTGATCTACTCCTCTAGTATCGCCGATTCCTGGAGTATCAATCAATCTTAGAATTTTACTTCCACCGACATGAAACGCGTAACTTTTACATCCTTGAGTAGCTGATGCTCCTACAATTTGAAATTGTTCATTTGAATCATCCTTGCCTATTCTAATCTCTTTTGTGTTATAATTCTCATCGGTTATCGTGAATTTAGATGAAATTAATGGAACTAAATCTCCAAGTTTCGCTTCCTCCAATGTTTCGTGTTTAAGATAGTTCACAAATGCGTTTATAAATGTGGATTTTCCTACACCAGTTTCACCGAGTAGTAGCACGTTAACTTCTTCTGGTGGCTCTTCAGGTAACAGTTGGTGAATTGACATTTTGTCATATGGCATAAATCCTTCGGTGTGATATGGGCTGTTGCATCTAAACTTTGCATCAGTGATGTTGCTTTCGCCACATCCACAATAAAAGTGTCGATTATAACTATATTCTACTTCCCGTTCGCATCTGTAGCATTTCCAATGACAATCAACAGAGCAATTGGTTCGAGGGCAAGGTAGAAATAATCGTATCTTTTCATCGGAGTGTATAAAATTACGAATTGGTGTAGAATCGAATCCAACGAGATTTGACTCGAATAACTCTTTTTTGGCACTATAGTAATCACCACTGACCAACTTTCCATTGATATAATGATGAATTACTGTGCGTCCGGGATTTTTTATTCGTGAACACTTTTTAAGATTTACCATAAATAATCTGTTCATTGTCTTATCTAACGTTGACAAGTCTCGAAACATAATGTATACTGGTGATATCTTGTTATTAATAATATTATCATCATTATCAAGTAGAATATATATGTGCTTGTTTGGATATCTAAATAGAATATCCTGGATAGGGGAATC